TCAATGCTGAGGGGGGTGTTCTGGACCAGTCTAGTTTAGTCGCTGTGGACTTTTGAAGTCTCTCGTTCAAATGAATGGAGCTGCGCATGCGTTTTTTTTACCATTTTCTTGTGGGCGGGACCACTCGCGGCCATTTTGGATTGCTCCAGTAGAGCACATTTTTGGCCCATTAGTTAGAACGGCGGAGATAGTCTATGGGTCAAACATGTGATTTTTATGGTTTTTCTGTCTCTTGTTGCAATATTATAAAATCATCTTTGTCTTTGTGTATCATGTTATATATTTGTCTAACGCTAGCTAAGCAGGGCAGGGCCTGGTTAGTGCTGTGATGGGAGACCTTTGGGAACAGCAGGTGCCACAGTGAGGTGGCTGTAAAGTGCCAGACTGTGGTTGTGTCCTTAGGCAAGACACTTCCCCCACATTAGAATGAGTCTGGTGTGTGTGAATGGTTGGTGGTGGTCGGAGGGGCCGATGGCACATACTGGTTGCCTCGCTTCTGTCAGTGTGCCCCAGGGCAGCTGTGGCTACTGTAGTTTATCACCACCGTGTTTGGAGAGAGAGAATAATGATGTGAGTAGGACTTTGAGCGTCCTGGAAAGTGCTGTAGAAAACATTATTATTATTATTATTGTTATTGTTGTTATTATTATTATTATCAGACAAACAGCAGCCTGTGGAGGAGATGTGCAAAGAGGACGTTTCCAGAATATGTACCGGACACAATCTATAAAAGTCTGTTTAGGACTTTATTCTGTATTTGCTAAGAACTTCCTTCACTCTTTGTTGCTAAGTTAGACTGTGTTTACACTTCCTCCTTTGGGTCAGCACATCGTTAGGAGCAGTGGTTCTCGTGGCACCCCCTCCACTACTCCCGGCTTTATCTGCTTTGTTTGTGTCGCTAACACTGTTCCCATCTGCCAGAGACCAGAGAGAGAGACCAGAGAGAGAGACCAGAGAGAGAGACCAGAGAGAGAGACCAGAGAGAGAGACCAGAGAGTGAGAGACCAGAGCAGAGAGTGAGAGACCAGAGCAGAGAGAGACCAGAAAGAGAGAGAGACCAGAGAGAGAGACCCGAGAGAGAGAGAGACCCCAGAGAGAGAGAGACCAGAGAGAGAGACCCCAGAGAGAGACCCCAGAGAGAGACCAGAGAGAGAGAGACCAGAGAGAGAGACCAGAGAGAGAGACCAGAGAGAGAGAGACCAGAGACCAGAGAGAGAGAGAGACCAGAGAGAGAGACCAGAGAGAGATACCAGAGAGAGAGACCAGAGAGAGAGACCAGAGAGAGAGAGAGACCAGAGAGAGAGACCCCAGAGAGAGACATGCAGAAAAAACATCTGATTTTTGTTATTTAAAGAAATAAACAGGAGCTTTGGGGATTGTGTTTTACCCCCCCCCCCCTCCTCACCTCCGCCCCCGTTACTCCTCCCCCCTCCCCCCCCCTCACACCGCTCCTCTGGTCGCTGCTTAGATCTCGTGGCACTTGTGGAATTACATGCGGTTCCACCATGTGCAATAAATTATCCGGCCGTCTGCGCTTCCAGTGAAAAACCAGAGAAAATCCCTGTGATGTTTGCGTTCGCAGCAGCCCCGGCTTCAACTGCGGCTCGTAAATTCCTCCAACGATGTCGCTTTGACGCTGTTATTTCCTCTCCCTCCCCCCTCCCTCTCTCTGGTCTCTCTCTCTCTCTGTGTCTCTCTCTCTCTGTGTGTCTCTCTCTCCAACACACCTCCCTGTTTCATGCTGCTCGTTTAGCAAAGAGAGACCAGAGAGAGACCAGAGAGAGTTTATAGAGAGAGAGACCAGAGAGAGAGACCAGAGAGAGAGACCAGAGAGAGAGACCAGAGAGAGAGACCAGAGAGAGAGACCAGAGAGAGAGACCAGAGAGAGACCAGAGAGAGACCAGAGAGAGACCAGAGAGAGACCAGAGAGAGACCAGAGAGAGACCAGAGAGAGACCAGAGAGAGAGACCAGAGAGAGTCTATAGAGAGAGAGACCAGAGAGAGAGACCAGAGAGAGTCTATAGAGAGAGAGACCAGAGAGAGTCTATAGAGAGAGAGACCAGAGAGAGTTTATAGAGAGAGAGACCAGAGAGAGAGACCAGAGAGAGAGACCAGAGAGAGAGACCAGAGAGAGACCAGAGAGAGACCAGAGAGAGACCAGAGAGAGACCAGAGAGAGTCTATAGAGAGAGAGACCAGAGAGAGTCTATAGAGAGAGAGACCAGAGAGAGAGACCAGAGAGAGTCTATAGAGAGAGAGACCAGAGAGAGTCTATAGAGAGAGAGACCAGAGAGAGAGACCAGAGAGAGAGACCAGAGAGAGAGACCAGAGAGTCTATAGAGAGAGACCAGAGAGAGTTTATAGAGAGAGAGACCAGAGAGAGAGACCAGAGAGTCTATAGAGAGAGACCAGAGAGAGTCTATAGAGAGAGAGACCAGAGAGAGAGAGACCAGAGAGTCTATAGCGAGAGAGAACAGAGATAGACCAGAGAGAGAGACAAG